ATGGGAATAAGAGCACTGGCCCAGAATTTAAGATGACTTGCATTCCAATCTTCATTCTGTCACTGGGAGTTCTGTAACATTGCATAGGTGATTTGACTTCCCTGAGTTTAACTTTTCCTCTTCTGTAAAATGCGGAAAAATAACTGTAAATGGAGCATTAAAGTCTATTCCAGCTCTGATTATATTTTAAGTTTGTCGTGAAGGTAGAGTAGAAGTTATGGTCCATTTTAAACAGTAAATGAGTTCAGTTTAGTTTAATTTTCTGTAAAATAGGGAGGGTAATGCCTGCTCTGTCTATTTCACAAGATTGTTGGTGAAGATAAAAGGACGGTAATATGTGAAAATAGTTTAAAACTTCTATGGCTGTAAGCTAGTATTTATTTAGGAGTCTGAGCACTTTTGGGGGGCAACATTTACTTTTCTGAAATTTTACTGCTGTTTAACAAACCTCTCAAATCCCAAAGAAAACATTTTGTTGAGTCAAACAAATTTTGGGGGGCCATTTACTCTTTTTTTCTTTCTCCTTTTCCACACCATTACCAACATGAGATTAATCTCCGTATTAAAAAGATCCCAATACTTGCATATTTCCCCTGTTGTCAAATTATTGCCTCAATTGTAAAGGACAGAAAAGGAGTAAAAACCCACTCAACTATTGCAAATTTTTTTCGATGGAGTTATTTTGGGGGTTTAAATGCACTTGTACTTTTTAAAAATTTTTTGATTAAAGGAATACACTTCTTTCCCCAATCTGTTGCTTGTATACTTACATTTTAAGAAAATTAAAGGAATGGACATATTTGGCTAGCTATGTTCAGTATCTTAAAAACAAGCAGACCAATATGAAAAAATATGTCAATGTTGAAAGTTCTTATCCTTTTAGGTTAGTGTGTTTCAAAATCTAGCTCATATTTTTCTTTGATAATTTGCTAGCAATGTTAGCATGAAGTAAAATTCCAACAATAATTTCGGTCCAGGTGCAGTGAATATACATGTTATATGTTACTAAAACTAAACAGTCTCATTCTTTCAAACCTTCTGGACCAATTGTCTAATAATAGTACATAATAACAGTAATGCTAGCTGTCATTTATTGAGACTTTATGCTAAGTGTTTTATATTTTTTTCTTTTATTTATCCTTATACCTATGATGTAGGTACCTATTTTATAGATAAATGAATTTTGGAGAGGTT